TAGGAATTAAATATATACTTTAAGATGGATGTAAGACAAACAGCAGACAGGCCACATGGACAGGCCACTTGTCAGCTGTGTCACACTTCTYCATCGGCTCAGCTTAGAACAAAGACATTTCTCTTTCCTGTTAGTTCCTAAGAAGCATATTCTCCTCTCTAGGATAAGTTGTATTATGAAAAAAAAAAATAAAAAAGGGAGAAAATCCAAGGCAGATTGTACTGTAATATTTCTTCCTGCTTCCTGTTATCTTCACAGATTTGAGGAAATTTTCTGGTCCTGCCCTAGGCCTCTTAATAAACTAGGCAGCTTGTGGATGTGATCTACATCACTATTGACAAACGCATATTAAAACAAAAACAAAACAGAAAAGCTGCTTTTATTTCCAGAAATAAACCTTAAAAACAGATTAAAGTGCAAGAGCAGCCCTGGCAATATTTTTGCTGCTAACTGGCTTTTTCTAGCTTCTGAAATCATGCTCTTGCTGTCCTACTGTATTTTCAAGGCTACAAATGACATCTTATTTGCATTAGTCAAGCCACAAAAAGAAAGCTAAGAAAACCTGGACTGACAGGTAACATATTAGCAGAAAGACCTATCRGAAGTAAATAAATAACTTATTTTCCACTTTATTTTCTAGATCAAATTCATCTTTGGATACAAATGAAAAAATCAAACTGATCGCTTGACGAGCCTTTAAAAAAAGGAAGAGATTTATGTCTTTTGACAGACAGTAGCGTCATTATCAGGGCATTAGAATACCACTCGGATTTAAGCGCCTTTGCACACACTTCACATTCGGAAGCCTATCTTTCCTTCCTGATGCCAACATTTAAAATGCCCACTCCTCTTTTTACTGTATTCATAATTCCAGAAGTATGAGGGTGACTGGAGCATCTTCTCCCTATTGTCAGCTTGTCCCATGTTTTTTTCTTAGGAAAAAACCCCMAAATTCACAACCATCATTCACATGTAGCTACAGGAGGGCTTAACTGTGCACCAAGAATTTAGGTTCTAGTACAGAGAGCTCAGGTTTCTTTTACACTAAGGTTCATCCTATAGCAAAYGATTGGCATAGAAAAAGTAAAGCTAAAGTGTAATCCATAATTGATTCTCCTTTAAACAAATGGAAGAGATTCCTCACCCATAATGAAGGATTTCAAAAAGTTCAGCCAACATGGAGCATCCACTTCCTAAATACCCATGTATCATAGAGCAAAGAACGTGTCTTAATGCCCTCCTTCCGTCTCATAACCTTTAAAACAAGCACTCCAGGTCCATAAAAGTTAGGGAGGAGAAGAGCATCAAGGCTAAAAGCAGGAACATTCGGAAGCATCATTATGATGACTCGTACAATCCTAGATGCTAGAGCACAGGAGAGAGTGCACAGGACCATTAAAAGCAGCTTCCCYTAGGTCCCATCACTGGCTGCTGCCAGTTCTTGGTATGTCAGAGGAAGGTAAAAATTAAAAGCAAAGCAAACAATAATTCAAAAGCCCCAACTTCCAAGACCAACTTAAAAATCAGAAGCAGCTTCACCGTTTAGCATCCAGCACTGTGTTTCGCTCTGGCTGYTGTGCAGTATAATTGCCCGTATGAGAGGCAGTCCAACTTTTGCTCTCCAACAACTAATCAGGCAGCCAGTCACTTTAAAAAGGACTTTTAATTCATCATCCTTAGGAGAGCTAGTTTGCATTTTACAGTTTCTTCCAATATATATTATATTTTGCTGGGGAATTAATTCATGTTTCCTGAACAGACATCATAATTAAACTACTCCTCTTAATAGAATTGCAAATGATATACCTTGGTTTCATTTGTAAAACTGACAAGTATTTACTAGTAAAAATACAGAGATGCTAAGGCCAAGTTTATCTTGAAATTTATAGCACACAAAACCCCTGAAAAAAGGAAATATATACACACATACCATGATGTAACTCTAGCAAGAAATATGCCCTGTTGTTAATCAAAGTTGAGACAGGTCAAGGACTTAATCAGGATGATGTCAGACTCAGAAACAAATCTCTATTTTTCACAACAGAGCCTAATGATCAAACTGTGATTTACCTTCCATTAGCCATCTCCCTCCCAACCTTAAAGAACTTGATCAGTGCTTTTATTACATGGAACAGCAAAATTAATAACAACAACTTTGTTCATCCTCTTTGTTTCCGGTGCAAGCTACTCAAACACTGAACGAGATCCACGAGCTGCCCTGGTTGAATGTAAAGGATCCGTCCAGGATCTACAGAAAAGTGAGAATCAAAAGCCATTCACATCTGACTGCATTTTGTCATTGAAATTTCTGTGTCAGCCAAAGTGAAAGAAATATGAATAAAAGGAGCTTAAACAAATCCGCAGTCATTCTGGATTATGAAGCATTTCTGCAGTATGCTTTGTTGTATACAYACAAATGCCAAAGCTCTCTGTTCAAAAGCAACAGCACACTTTATTAGGAAAAGTAAAGGTTAACACAACAGGTAAAACATCATAGTCAAAACACTCTGCAAAAACCAACAACAAAACCCCCACACTGTAAATTTTTCTGCGAGGCTAATTCAATGTAGGTGTTGTTATGTATCAGACAGCAGACATCAATGCACTGCAAACTTCCCTGCAAAATTATCTACAACATCTAGAGAAGTGTTCTAGCCTCCGGAAGACAGCAGTCCACAGCTCTTTTGAATGCAATAAAGAGTACCATAAAAAGCCTTGTAATGATTTTAGCCAAGTGAAAAATAAGTATGGTGCTGATACAGTCAGATGTGGGTTTATTAATGAACAAATGTCACAATTCCCTTCAGAGCTGTATAAATGAAACTGCTTTGCAATCTGCACCAGTTACGCCTGGCCACTGATGAGTGCTAGAGAAAATAAAACTTGATGTATTTCAGAAACAGAAGAAAGTTATCAGATTTAGAACAGTCTTGAAAAAGTAAAAACACCCTAAACACTAAATGAATCAAGCCCAGAATTAAAGGCCACTTCCCCACCCTCCTAACAGTTCTGCAGAGGATCCTTTCAATAGACAAATTATTTCAAGTCACTTCAGCCATCTTAGATTTCATCAATGCTACAGGCCAGAAGGCAAATTTAAAGCAATAATAAAGATTGAAAGGTCTCAACAGACTATTTATTCATGTTTCTAGTCTACACTTTYGTCTACTGCTATCCACTTTATTCAAGTTCAGGACTGTTCCCCTCAGCCTAGTATTAAGAGATTATTCAATTGTCTGACTGAAATATCCACCACAAGAAGTGGTGAGAGGAGTTGAGCAAACAAGTGAAACACAATGGGAAAAAAATCTATGCACAGGCCGTGTCCTTGCGTCGGGCACCCCACATCTTCAGCGTGCAGTGCTCCTACACCTCAGCCAAAGCAGCAAGCCCTCACTAACGTGAAAAGCAGTTGTTTAAGACCGCACCTTCTCTGGAAGCATTTCTGCAGCCAGCATGGCTCGCTCCCCACCCCGACCTGCTCCAGTCATCACCCACAGCACGGGTGGGCTGTGATGCTGGGCCCGACAAGGCACAAACAGGGGCCTCCTCCTGCCCAAAGGTAGCGTGACGGGGGAAATCCAGCTCCATAAGCCACAGCCGTATTTTTATATGCTTCATACACGGTAACAGAAAGAYATTATTAACATAATATTCAGAATATATCTCAGAATAATCAGAATATATCTTTCCTAAATTACTAGGAAGAGCTAGGGTATGTCTGGGGTATGTGTTTGTGCTCTACTCCCTCCTAGGACACAAGAGCAGAGGGCAGAAATTGCTTTTGCTGGTGCAAGACAGGACTCATCATTTTGTTGTAGCTGACGTCTCTCAATGAACAAGCAGGATTTTTCCCAAACACAACTGGTTTAGGCAAGCTGCAACGGTGAAGCCAACTGACATTATAAAGTAACTGTCATATAAATATGAAGATGTTTGGCTCATGTAAACATCTACAGAAAAAATCAAAATAGAACAGAAATTTATGCCTACGACTAGTTACAAATCRCGTCAAGGAAGGTAGTCACTTTATGAATCTCAGAGACAGATATTTTGAACACACCTAGATACTGACTGTAGTTAGAAAATCGTGGACCATTTTAGGTTTGGACCCTTGAAGGTCATCTAGGCCAAATTCCTGCTCAAAGCAGAGCTACTTGGGTGCTAGAACAAATGGCTCAGGGATTTGTCAGCCTGAATTTATGTGGAATGTTTCTTTATTTCTTTAAATATTAAGCATTTTTTATTAAGGAATCAGAATTTCTCCCGTAGCAACTTGCAAGTGCTGCCTCTCATCCTTTTGCTGGGTACCTCCGACAGGCTGGAATTTTACTGTATTGTCATAATCATGCACTTCTCTCAGGGAGCAAGATGGGAATTTTCATGAAATTTACATTTGTCGTACAGAGAAAAGAGGCAACCCATAACGCTGCTTTCCACTACGAGATGTCAAAATACTGGCATATATAAATTACTGAGGAAAGTCACTGTCTGGAAACTTTGCCTACAGAGTGGACTATATTTCCTTCTTAGCCGAAAGCTTTTGGGTGTACTCTAAACCCCTTTGCATGGTTCCTCTCTATATCTGTGCATAAAAAATAGCTTTCCTGCAGGAGGTCAAGGAGGTCCTCATGCACAGCAGGAACTCTTACTGCTTCAAGCCTCAATGGGATGTAGCTCAGCTACTTACTGCTATTAGTCTCCTACTGCATCTTTGTGAATGTGAAACAAACTATAAGTGGTTGGCATATGCAAGCCTTACATGCATGCTTGGGGAGAACAGGCAGGATTTTTATTTTTCAAAAGCAGCTTAGAATAATCCAATATAAAAGACTTGAGTAAACCAGTTACACTGAGATCTTCACTCTGGTGAACACGGACAGCATATCTGGGATGGAAAATTCAGCTATAGCCATAGAAAATAAGAGTATAAATGKGTCTTGTGCCTTGGCTATAAATCTGGAACATCATTCTTGAATATTAGAGTTATATTAACTGACCTGTGAGCCTTTCCAGAACATCAAATCCATGTTTCAGAGCAATGATATCAAGAAAAGAGACTGTGCCATCTTCAAACCTGCAGAACGGAACAAATGAGCACAGTAAACAAATCATGCAGCTGCAGTACAGACAAAATAAAAAACACCCCTATTTTTAGAGCTAGTGTTTTAAAATTCAGTGAAACTAACTTGCAGAGCAGCAATTCTTACCTTAGGGATCCAGTTCTCATTCTTGTAGTATCCTCTGAGGTAAAAATAAATACTTCAAAGCTAAATATTCACATGAATAGTAGTTTGCAAAGAGGAAGCTACATTTTTCCCCTCAGAGGCTCTTTGTGGGTTTTCAAGTGCAAAAGAATAATGGGTAAGAGTAACGGGTAACAGTTCTGTCTTGGGGCCAGGGTGTCCTAAGGTCCCAAGTAACCTGCTGCCCATGTGAGAAGATGTCAGAAAGAGTGAGGAGAAAGGTGGATACTTGGTGCTTGCCCCACTCCACAGTGATGATGGCCACTAGAGCCAAGCCAGACAAMAGGAGGACCTTCCTTAGCTGCAGTAAAGAGGGTGACCAGTAACGAGTGTCCTGCTGGAAATAACTGACATATAACCGTACAGCTATTCCAGGACAGAAGAAACGTGTCCCACTTTTCTCCTATTTCATTTTTCCTACAGTCATCAACTAATTTTTTTTTAAAAGACAAACAAGTGACACTGATAGGGAGTCAGCTGAAGACAATATAAAACTTGTCCAAAATATTCAGTCTGTCCACATAAAAGAATAACRTAAAAGTGCTGTATATACAATTATATATTCAACTTAGACAAAACAAGACAAATAGAGGCAGTAAATTGCTACAAACCAATGGGGAAGGCAAAAGCAGTGGACTGCTACAAGGAAGAGCAGTCCACAATAATTATTTAGGTTTGCATAGTCCTCAGGAATTTCTGCCTCTTGTCTACTTGTCTAATAATAATTAATGGCCAAGGCCATTTACCTTGAATCTCAGAAAAGAAACGTCACTGGTTTCCAGTGATGAAATTTAAAACGGCTGCTAGGGATTTGAGAAACAACTAATACTAGGAATAGTTTCGCGTGACATGAAATGGCAACGCAAACTTCTGGATGAGCACATCAGGGAGAAATAGTGAACTCAAACATTCAGGAATACTGGGATGGGTGCTTTGGAAATCAAATGTAGAAAAGCACCAAAGATTTGCACAGGCTGCAGGAAATGTCAGAGAGATCCCACACGGCTGCCGAGGAGACACTGCAGAAAGGGGTCGTGAGGGGGAGTTGATCTATCCCAGTCCTGTCCCGGCGGTGGCTAGGAAAGCAAATGAAACACTGGGAAGCAAAGCCCARAGCCGCTGGCGTGGAGCCCATCAAGGAGACTGCACAACCCTGCACAACCTTATCAACCTCAGGAGAGAAGAGCACTCACAAGAGGAACAAAGGTGGTGGCCAAGATCCCAAAGGTAGAGCCTGACTTACAGTAAAAGGGGAAATTAGAATTGGATTTCTGTTCATTAGCTGTGATTATTAACTAAACGGACAACTGCAGTATGTCCATGGCTAAGCAACAGAAGACAACCAGGCTGTTAAGTTCTGCAAGGCTTTCACTGAAACAGTCCAGAGCTTAGTAATTTCTTCTTTTTCAGAAAAAAAAAAAGACAGAAAGCAAATACAGCTGTGGGTTTTTTTGGGTCAGACGTTACGCTCTGTCGACGCGGCAGCACACGCACTGCATCGCTCCGTCACGCCGGCATTATTCATTCCTTCTGATCATAGCAGTGCCTCTGCTGCCCGCTCCATTACAACAACGGGAAGCCGTAACACCAACCCTGAATGATGACAAAACCCCTTGCTCCAACTTGAGTGCCGGCAAACAAAGATACGGACAAGCCTCCTTTTGTGGTTTAGATACGGACCTTTGCAGGGCTCCTCTCCAGCATGAGGGCTGCCTGGAGGCACCAGCTCCCTTTGCAGATCCCCTAGTTTGCCAAGGGCCTGATAAAGGCCCTGCCAACAGGCCATAATCCCCAGGCTGTGGGGTTGACGCTTGGGCCAGGGCACTTGACTCCATTCTCCAGCCTTACCCACCACCTTTCTGTGCAATTTCAGGTGAAGCTGTAATCTCCCCTGTACGGGCTGCTTTTCAAGCTAAGCCACTGAGCTTCCTTTATCCCTGGAGAAGTGTCCAGGAGTCATCTAGAAATTCGGGTATTTAGCAAATGAACCCTATACCGCTGTGGCTATTTTACTTGGTGCCAAGGCACATCATGRTGCTGTGAGGGGTAGCTATTCCCCTCTGGGACATGGGGAGCTTCCTCTCAGAATATTTACCCACATTTTAGGAATAAGCGCAAACACACTCCTTGCATTAAAAAAAAAAAAAATGACTTCAACAGTGAGTTTTATGTTTGATGTAACTGATGCTTCAAATGGGTTGTTTCCCCACTCAGTGGCAGCTTCAGTGCTACCATAATGAGTTTAGGATGAAGTTCACCTGAACGCTGGTCTAGCAGCCATTTCCTGAAGTAGAAATGAGTCTCCTTTAGCTGACCATGTACAAAGGAGCCACAGGAACTATATTACTGCAGAGGACCAACCCAAGAAACAACAAGCTTCTCTTTTCTGGTTCTTATTATAATTAATCCTGCTTAATCAAGGCTGGGATGAGCTCAATTCCTTGGCTAATTGGGTTTAGAAAAGCTGAAGAAAGCATTTCACATCAACCTGCTATCTGTCTAATGGATTCAACAGYTCATGGCAWWAAAAAAAAAAAAAAAAAAAAAAAGGCACCTACCTAAGTCATCACGTTATGAAGACAAGTTTTCTAAATCACACAAGACCTCTGCTTCTAGRAGCAGGCTGGAATCCCATCGCCAATGCACGAGGACAAATCTAACCCAGCCTCTCTGACAGCATTGCAATGAGTTGGTGCAAAGCTCAGYTAAAGCAGAAAGGAACTTGATGGCGAGCCAGATTTCCCTCCTTTACAKCAGTGCACCTCCTCCATTTAGGGCAAATAAACAGAAGCCATCCCTTGTTTCTAAAGCAGGTAAAAGAGAAACTGAATCCACASAGAAAGTAGATTTCTCAAATAAGCTGCTTTTCTTCTCTTTTTTTTTTTAACCCCTCCTCCAGAGTAGAGCTGCCCTTTGAAGTGAGATGTTACACAAGTTCCTTTCATCTTTTCAATTCATTTATGTTCCTCCAATTAAAAAGTACAATACAGAGACGTTCCTCATATACATTTAAAAGTGATTCACTCAGATGCTATTCTTCACCTTTTAGAGATACTCTGCATCACCTTCATATGAAATACAGTTGTCTTGGTAAATGTCATTTTTACATTTTATAGAAATTCCACTGTTTACTCTAAATTGACACTTGCTGGAATTACAACAGCACTAAGGGTTTCAGTCCCATGCATGTTCTTAGGTTAGTAATTGCCATCTCCRATATCAGCAGGGGAAGGGAACTTAATTGGTCTCACTGCTTTCCCACATCAAACCCCAACATTTGCAAAAGGAGCTATATTTGTTTTGCTTTTCTCTAACTTACAACACATCATTACTGATGTATTAAACCTATAGGGTCCCATTCTGCTCTTCAGCACATTCATCAGCTTCCATTGAGCCAAAGATAGGAAGCAACTTTCTGGTGTGTTTGGGGGTCTCCAGAAGATGTGACCCCCTTGATCTGCTTTGTCTCAGAATCAGAGAATCCCAGAATGGCTGAGGTTGGAACGGACCTCTAGAGATCACCTAGTCCAAMCYCCTGCTCCAGCAGGGACACCCAGAGCACGGGGCACAGGGCGGCATCCAGGTGGGTTGGGAAGATCTCCAGATAAGGAGACTCCACAGCCTCCCTGGGCAGCCTGTGCCAGGGCTCYGGCACCCTCACAGGAAAGAAGTTCYTCCTCACATGGARATGGAGCTGCCTGGGTTGCAACTTACACCCATTGCCCCTTGTCCTGTCACTGGCCACCACTGAGAAGAGCTTGGCCCCTTCCTCCCTACCTTCCCCCTTCATGTACTTATACATATTGATCAGATCCCCTCTAAACCTTCTCCAGTGAAAAGAGGCCCAACTCAGTCTCTCCTTGTACGAGACATGCTCCAGTCTGTCCACAGACAACACATTTGTTTCTGACACCTTGCTCGCTGTCCATATAGACACTTCCTGAACTCTGTGCGTTGAAACCCAGTGTACTGTCAGCAGCAATGTCCAAGTTGTATGATCAGAGCAGGACCAAGTGTCGATCCGTTGGCCTTTTGATCTTCTCCTGGTCACATCTTTGGAAGAGGGTCTGGTTCTTGGACCACTCACCTCAGGTGTACCCTCCCTCCAGAGAGAACAACCTTGTAGCGCACAGTGGATGCCACTGAAGCAAGTGAAACAAGGAGACAGCTGGGTGTAACGGACATGGACGCTGTCATTAAACCAGGCTTCTGGAGCGATCCAGCTTCTGGATAACTGTCTGCACAGGAGTGGGCTCCAGCAAGCCTGCAACGTAAACACTCAACGGGCAGTAATAAATCCTGGATTTCCGAGTAAGACACCTGCTCCCACCACCTCAGCAGCTCATTTTTGCCGCTCTTAGAGGCACATTACATGTTTGTGAGCAACGACTGCTTCTTACACGATTAAACCAGAGTGCCACTGCCCAGACAACTGCCACTCGTGAAGCAGAAAATTGAAAGAATAAATCAATCCATTTTTTATTTCTCAAACATCGCTGTTTCTCCCTTAAGTGCTATTCAATGAATGTCCAAGTGGTAACTCTGCTCACCACCTATACCTAGAAAAATATCATCCCTTTTATGCAAAAATACTAAGGGCCTTGCATTCAGTTACTCAAATCCATCTAAATGGCATTCTGACTTTATAGGTTATCAGTTCCTCAGAGCTCTATCTGTGAATAAAAACTACACTTCTGACAGTTATGCATCATAATTAGTCTCATCTAGATGCAAACTTTTAATAAAACTAGATGTCTCCCACTAATACCATTTTTACAGTTGATGATTTATAGTGTAGTTTTAAAAATATATTATTTAAGCAGGGGCTCTA